GTACAAGATGCTGATGATAATGACAACGAGGACAAAGGCACCTTGATTATCGGCTTGATGCAGAAGGATCGTAGAAAGATGCGAAAGCAAGGATTGGACCTGCTCACAATAGGCTTCATGGTCTACGCTGTAAGTTGACGATCCATTTGTTTGTAAAGCCTCTGTGCTTTTGGCCCCCTAACTTTTACTATAGAATTACTTGAGAGCAGCTACGTCAGGAGATATCGATCTTGAAGGTAGTGGCTTTCGCGATCTCTGCATGCTTGATTGTTAGCTGCCTTGAATACAAGGTCCAACCCGTATCCCTTCGCTGTTCTAAACGGAAAACTGCAACTATTATATTCACCATTCTTCTTGTTGCACGACAGTTTGGCCACCACAAGTGACAAGGGACTTGTTCGGCCTCTATCTCACTCCATTTTTGCTCCCTGTGTTTCATAATGACAAGATTGAAGCTGTATGACTGAAGAGGTGAGCGCGAAATCGGTGTCGGACAACACTGAGTAGCCCAGAAAGTACACGAGCACTAGTGCCTAACTGCGCACGAACTAGGCTTCAAAGAAAGGCAGAATATTGATCCTCTCATAGGCCACTATCACTAAGGACATACTTAGGTGAAGGCGTTGCAGTCTGAGAGCCGACACCGGGTAGTACCGGATTACCTTGTCAACAGGCAACTTTTTAAACGGTGACTGTTGATGGTTCGTAGTGGTTTAGAGGGCCGTTTGTTTGTCACTGTTAGGGAGACAAACCGCTACATTGGGCTAGTGAAGTGAAACAGTCAACGCCTTTTTTCCTTAAGTGTTTTGTACTCAGTCAGTAAACATGCGCTGTAAGTTACCCCAGTAAACAAAATCGTGAGCGTATGTTTACGCACGTCTTGTTTACCTGCGCGCACGAATTTAATGAAATCATAGACCCTTTCGGACACCGGTGACTTACTGGCCTAATTTGACCACGGCATGCTCCGTTTTTCTTTGTCCGTAAGTTGCTTTGGATTGCCTTTATTTTGATTGGCTGAGGCCGCTCGCATCTCCGGTCGATATTATGCCCGCTTGGACTTGGCGCAGTTATCGTTGGGGGCAAATATTAACAATCTTTTCTGCCCGCAAAAACAGCGCAGGAAGTGATTGGTCCAAGTTTTCGAAATTTATATATATGCTGTCTGTCGTCTGGGATGACGGCGACATTCGCTCTGTGTGCTGTAGATTACCTACATTACAAATGGTCGCTTTCCGTTGACAACAGAATTATAATCAAGTTTGGCGGGTTGACCAAATAGACACTGTGGTCGGTGAGGCTGAAGGTGCGCTGTTGGCCAGCCTTCCTCACCTTGAACGTTATTTTCAGTTGACACTCTCTTTGGATAGGGTTGGTTTCGGATGCGATGACATCCCTGTTAAGTTGCAGATCTACTATAAAGAAGTTCCCTGAAAACGCGCTCTTGGTGGGGAATTTGGAGAATGGAAAGCAAGCACTGTGGATGGAATGCCTCCTTGAGACTCATATCTCCTGCGCCCACCGTCTATGACTCCCCTTACTATAGGAAGATTATCTTGACGGAACGGGGTTTCGGTCTACACAGAAGAATTTAACTAGGCAGGATGTCTGATCCGAA